TGACAACCGTTTTCGTCACCGTCGGTTATTCGGTTAATTTCGCGAGTGTCGGGATTTTTTTTTTCTTCTATCAAGACATGGTGCCCGATGCATTCACCTATTTAAATGACGTGTCACTTTGCACGCATGTAAATGCACGCGTGAGAAAGAGTGGTGTACCTTTTTTTATGGGGCACCGATGTTTTGTTATGGCTATTTTCTTCTACCGTAACTGTTGTCAAACAGATATTTTAATAAAAACAAATCATTGGCTTTTGCGTCCGCGATGACCATTTCTCCACTTTTTCCTCTTTTGGGGATGGAGCAAAGGGACGAGCCTGCGCACAAAATATGGGCCAACGTGGCCAAGGAATTAAAAAAAAAAATCCCGGCCGAAAATATTTCAAATTCTTTTCAGTTAAATTACATGGGATAAAGCTGATATGATTTGATACATGTCCTTTGTTGAGCCCCGTAGTTCAAAGATTTAGGATGCTACAATTCACACAATATACTTTATGCACATAGCGACCATCGTAGAGGTCGTTCTTTGTTATATTAATGAGGTGACAACGAATGCACCACAAGCTTACTCAAGCATTTCCCTCTAAGATGGCGGCTACGCACGACGTCTATTTCCTCCAACACCAGACTCTGTTTCAGCAACACTGACTAAGCCTTACTCACGGGTCGGCCATATTCAATTGAAAGCGAGGTAAAAATCTTCAGTTTTGGAACTTGCGAATAGAAACGAAAGCAATGAAATAAAGTTAATTACAGATTAATACCAGTCTGCTCTGATGAATAATTAACATTTTGTGATGAAACATACCGTAATGCTTTAAGACACATTTCAAAAAAATAATGAAATTGAGGCTTGGAACGCATAGTCTGGCACCATCCCATTGAACAGTTTACAATTTATAAAATGCATTCAGGGAACACGATCAAACATGGCTTCTTCGTGAATAAGGTCTATTCCCGTTCTTTCCTTTTCTTTATCATCCCTCCAGCGACTTCTATTTCACACCACTCCAGTGACTTCTATTTCGCACCCCACCATTATAGATCTCCAGTATCGTTTCCCGCAGACGTAATTCTACCGTGGGCGGTTACCCCTTCCACCGAGACCCGCAGAAAAAGTGCATCATCAAAAATCACGCCGACGATCTTCCTCCTCTCAAACATTCCTCTTTCTACTTCACGCCCACGTCATTCCTCTCCACGACTTCTTCTCACCGTCCTTTTTATTTTCTTTCTCACACTTCTGGTTCTTCTATTTAATGTCTTGTTTCGCAATGTTCTACCACTCCTGATGATGACCTATCACCACATCAAGGCATATCTCAGTTTCTGTGCGCGAGGCACGAATCACTGTCAGAGAGTAAACGAAAGTCGAGGAGCCAATCACAGAGATTAGGTATCATGTGATACCCAATAGGTTTCCAATTGAGCCAATCACACCATAGATTGGATATCATGCGACACCAAATATGGGTATCATGTGATAACCAATACGGGCATCACGTGATACCCAATAGGTCTTTAGTTTCATTCCAATCTCGTATCCATTAATCGTTCTCTCCTTGCATCTTTCCACGTTATTCCTCTTTAATATGTTTTCCCTCTGAATTATCCAACCACGCATCTTTCTCGATCCTGCCCATTGTATGTATTCTCTATCTTACCTAGCCTCTCCGCAACATTAGCCCTCCTGTTCATAATACCCACACCATTAAATACAATAATCCTACCATCCGAGGTAAACGTCTTCCATTAATTATACACTATCACCTTTTCATCCTTAAAATTCATTCAAATATTTCCTCTCTTCTAGCCTTTAACTCGGCATCTTCTTTCTCAAATTAGGTTTTGCCCTTCTTCTTTCTCTTTAATTCATCTTCAAACTTTCATCTTCAAAAGTTTCACCTTGCACTCCTTATTTCACTTTGCCCGTCATAGTCCGATCACTCTCCCACATTTACACCGTACCCAGCCTCAAGCATCTTTCAACTTCACAAGTTGTTATTCTTCTTTGTTTTATTTTTTCTTTCCCATTGCCTTCTCTTATCAACTCTCACTCAAAACCACCAACTCTTGCGCGATTCTACGATGAATATGATGGGATACCTCTTCCAAAAATCCTTTAAATGGGTGTTTGTCTCCCGGCTAATTACTTTAACACTACTTTACATCTGTGTTTGTAGCAAAGTCCACACAAGTCCGGTACAAAGTAAACCATAAGTCTTTTCACAAGCCCAGTCACAAACAGGATATGAACAATAACAAAAAGGTGCTTTTGTCACAGTTCATAATTATGAACAGCTTGTGACTCGACTTGAAACTTTCAGGGCTTGTAATGGACTTGTGAGACTTGCGATGGACTTGTGAGGACTTGTAATGGACTTGTGAGGACTTGTAATGGAGTTGTGAGGGCTAGTGATGGACTTGTGAGGACGTGCGATGGACTTGTGATGGATTCATGATAGGCCAGTGTTGGACTTGTGAGGAATTGTGATGGCCTTGTGATGGACTTGTGATGGACTTGTGAGGACTTGTGTTGGACTTGTGATGGCCTTGTGATGGCCTTGTGATGGACTTGTGAGGACTTGTGATGGACTTGTGATGGACTTGTGATGGACTTGTGATGGACTTGTGATGGACTTGTAATGGACTTGTAATGGACTTGTGATGGACTTAATTGTGATGGACTTGTGAGGACGTGCGATGGGCTCGACAACAACACTGCTTCACAAGGATTTGAACAAAACTGTCATCCACAAACGTCTGAAGCATTACGCCCTAAACAAATCGGTCGATCACTGTGACTACTCTGGAAACACCGACTTGTTTGGTAACACGAGACGAATGTTCCACTTCGTGTTTTGCCTTCGATTTTCTTCCTACGTCTGATCCACCTCTCTCATTCGACTTTCTCCTATAACGATCGCACTTGCTTCATTGGTCGCCCACAAGACTTTTCTCTCTTTACAATTTTTCTCGTTTCTCGACCCGCTGCGTTTTCTCGGACAATACTTCTCCCGAATCGCCACACTCGAAGGAATTCCTATTTTCCGTCTGTTTCAACCCCACATCCATTTATAACTCGCTTTTCTTTCACTGGGAAGGTTCATTTCTCAATCTCTTAAAAGGATTGCGCACACAGTGTGGATGAAAGAAACATATGAGAAAATCAAAAATAACTTTCATATTGGATAAATATTATTTTAACGATGGACACAGCCCCGTGTATAGGCAGTCTGACGCCATTCAGCTGTTGCATCACTCTCAGTGACCGGAGGCCGTTTGCGTGACGACTACCAAGAAAATCGGCTTAGAAAAAACCTGTCGATCAATTCGCTAGGGTCCACAGTGATAAATATAACCGTCCTTCGAAACTAGGTTTTTGTAATAGTTTGTATTCAATCCTTGTGGAGAAAAATATTCTTTTATCAAGAAAGGTAAAAGTGTGATGGTTTATTTGCAGATGTTAAATCTCAGATTTTAATGTTATTTGTTAAAATTATGTACAGTACTAGGAGACTGTCTACTCGTCCTTACATTTTAGTATATTAAATCAGCCTGTGTGAAAGTGAAACGTGCATTGGCACAAGCGATTGGGTGATATCTTGTATGCCTTAACACAATGGAGATGCATCTATACTGTGAATTTTCTCGTATTCTTTCACAGAACGTCACGTATTTCCCACGCAACTTCTTTTTAGAGTAGCTCAGATTTTTTTGTCCAGACAGCGAAGCAAGGTGTTAAACCTTTGACGTTGCGGAAAGACACGCACACCTGCGCACGTGCATTTTAATTCATCAGATTTCAGGCTAGCTTCAATTTAGCAGTCTCGCACTCTGAATGTTGGCCTTTGTGTCAATTATATTCCCCAAAACCGCTCATCAGGGGGACGGCGCCCCGCTGCGACAGGTGGAGGGGGATTCCTTTGAATCTTTGTTCACCCACCAAAAGCTGGATGCAAGTTCCTTAATCCTACCCCCAAAATCCGTACTGTCCACCCGAACGGCCTTTCTTTTTCAAGTGTTGTCTTCCCATGGAGGTATGATTGGGTGGTTATTAAACCAAACAAATGGGCCTGGATTTTGGGCAGAGGAGACCCAAGAACAACGAGAGGACTTGAGAAGATCTTCACGTTCTTCCAGAGCTTCATTTCGGGCCGGATTCCGTGACATTTACATCTTCCGAAGTACCGAAGCCCTACAAATTATACTGGGATTGAAAAACCCATTGTGATTATGTAAAAGCGGGGCGACAGAAGTTGTGACCCTGCCGAGAGTTGTTTGGGCCAACGACACCCCCTTGTCATTAAGTCCGTTTGTTGTAACTTTCACCCTAGTCTATTTCTCGTTTTCAACTGAGTAGATAAGATTTAAAGCTTTTATCCTACCGATTTATGCTGTGATAACTGAGCTGTGACGTGGAACATGCTGTTGGATAATCTACCGGCATGGGGTCTCGCCAACAAGAGACGACTATAGGAAATAAAAGACGCCAAATAACGATGTTCTTCAGAACTGTCATGAATTCTCTCACTGTAAATAAAGGTCGTTTCAATTCGCATATGCCCAACGGATCGGTTGAAAGATGTTGGTTTTTTCTTTTGACGTTTCGACACACGTAACCTACTTTGACAATAGTCCGGTGAAAATTCAGAACAGATGTCGAAACATCGAACTGGTATTTCATCTGATTCAGATTTTCATTGGGAAAATTTTGTGGCCTATAAACCTATTAGCAGCGATTCTTTCTCTTTTGTATGCCGAGTAAATACATTTTAATCCTTTAAAATGTTTTATATTCGTTGAAGGATTTGGGTTTGAAACAGTGTGTCCTACAATAAAATCACATTTTTAGCCCCATTGAAACGCTCGGACGAATTGGCTCTGCAAGTAGTTAACCATTATCAGCAAAACATTACCAATGTGAATGGGTTAAGAGAACATAATATCATGTCAAAATACTTTCTAGTCAAAATGTACGCGATTACACTTTGCAATCTCTTGGGCAGCAATTATTATAGACCATGTTACATCTGTTAACAAATTGACCTAGTACCCTCGTTTGTACGTGATGGTAATACCATCTGCGAATTTTATCCATTATTTGGCAGCTCAAACAGGCAAAATACGTTCCAATGTTCTAAGCAAAGGTGAATGCCTTTGGATCACATAACTTTTGGCTTTTCACAAGTCAATGTTTTCTTTTAAGTAGAAATTCAGATTTTAAGTACGTCGTATAAGTTTAAAGAAAGTTTCTTACAATGTAATTTGAAACCATCACAACAAAACACAGGCTTACACAGGCAGAACGTAAATACTATAGGTATAGCTTACTTTACAAAAAGATAAACACCAAAATGGACAGAAGATATACTGGTTAAGGACACCATGTCAGCAAGATGTGATTCTATCGAATATATACTCCACTCTGGGCATGCTGGTTGGAGATTCGATAGTTGGTTCCGGCTCGAGATGGTGGTTCGTCGTGGCCCGACGCCCGTTGGTGTATGCCACGCTGCTCTCAATGCTACTCCGTGGGCTGTTGGAGTTGAGCAGTCCTGCCTTCCGCTCCTGGATTTTCTTTATGATGAAGTTGAACCCCAGCAGCCTCTTGAAAGCCACGCGGAAGTCCCGGTTGAAGATGCTGTAGATGATGGGGTTCAAGGTGGAGTTGACGTAGCCCAGCCAGGTTAAGGCGCTGAGGAGGGGCGGCGAAGGGTCGCACCGACCACCGCACAACGGGGCGATGATGTTCAGAGAGAAGAACGGCACCCAGCAGATCAGGAACACCCCCATGATGATGCCGAGGGTGACCGCCGCTTTGTGGTCCGAGGCTGCCTGGTTGCCGTGGCACGAGGAGTCCGGGTTGTCGATCTTGCCCAGCCGGCCCATGCGAGCGTTCCGGACGCGCTCTCGCACCGCGCTGAAGATGCGCGTGTAGATGGCGATCATGACCACACACGGTAGGAAGAAACTGATGGTTGAGGACACCATAGCGTAAGTTGGGTTCAGATCCAGCATGCAGATATAGGAGTTGCTCTCCACGAGGACCGAGTCGGGGATAGGTGAGGGGGTGCTGAGGGACTTACCGGGGCCACCGAATTCCTTATGGAGGCCCAACTGAATTGGTAAGAATGACACCAAGGCAGACATAATCCACACCATCACTATGGCCACCAGGGCTCGTCGGTTAGTGATCCACCGGTAGTAGGCGAAGGGTTTCTTGATGTGCAGGTAGCGATCCACGCTGATGGCGCATATATTCAAGATGGAAGCTGTGCTGAACATGACGTCGAAAGAAATCCAAACGTCGCAGAATTCGGGGCCGAAGGCCCAGTATCCCAAGAGATCGTTGGCCATGCCGAACGTCATGACGAGGATCGAGACCAGGAGGTCTGCCATCGCCAGCGACACGATGAAGGAGTTGCCCGTCTTCCGGAGTTTATCCTCCGTCGCTACGGCAACGCAGACCAGCACATTGCCTACGATCGAGAGGACGATGAGCGTCGACAACACCACCGCGATGACGACGGTCTCGGCTACCGTCAGGTGGACGCTTTCCTCGCTAGACGAATCATTACCAGACCCGCCTTGGAGTTTGTAACCCGCACCGCTGGCCCCCGAGTATTCCCCGTCCGTCAGGTTATATCCAAGGCCGTCTCCAAGCATGGAGTTGTTGGGAAGACCCCCGGACCAGTTCCCGGTCTCCACTGCCTCCAGAATCGGTGGAGGGGTCGACCGGAGTTGCATATTTTCTCAGTACACATTCAGCTAAGACCCTGTCTCATGGATGCTCTATTTTGAAATTTACTGAAGATCGACTCTATTACACTTCTAGAACTTTCCGCATGCGCGGTTTTCCAGTTTCAAGGGACGCAAGCACCACCAACCTTGCACCGCATTATAAAAGTAGAGCTCCCCTTCTCGAATTGCAGACCAAAAATACTCCTTCTAACAGCTGAAATGATTAAAAACCCGTCCGTATCGGTGTCACATAATGTTACAGTTGGCGACAGATGCTCAGAGTGGATCAAGGTTTCTACCGAAGCCTCGCTAGCTGTTCATGTTGCACGACTGTGAATACTGGGGCCGAGTTCATTACGTTCGCCTTGCTAGAAAACGCCTGGTGCTGTGGACAACCGCGCCGGACGGGTAGCCAATCAAGCAATGATCGCGAAGATAGCGGGAAGTGGTGCGATCTCCAACTGCGTAGTCACACCGCATAAAATGCCTTGCAAGCTCTGCACGGTCGAGTATACCAAACCAGCCAAAATGCTCCACCGCTGGTAACGTCAGCGTAAGTACGCGGTCAATCCTCCTTTCTATGACTGTCCGCACTGCATGCACTGTCCTTTTCCCGTACTTTCACTGGTCAGGATAACTCTGCGACTGGTGTTTTAATCCGTGTCGTCACGAGCCAATGTTGCTGCGCACCGCCTCCTTCCCGCACACACCACACAAATCAATCTGACTCGCTCACGGATCGCGCGGCATCGAGGTCTCCATACGTGTGTGTGTGAAAAGAGATCAATACGATCACAATCGCGGCCCACACGGAGTGACGGTGATAAGCAACGCGCTGACGTAAAAGCAACCCATCCTTAAAAAAAAAACCACACACACAACAAAACAGACACCCTAACCGCCCCCGTCATGTTCACATTATAAACACATTTTTTTTGCAGATCGCCAATCGAAATGGTGGAGAATTCTACTGCGGAGATCTAGCGTCTTATGATCCGAAGGGTGACGTTTGTCAGTAAAAAAAAAATGCCTGAGCAAAAGACCAAGTCAGGTCTTTTTTCCCTTGTGCTTTGAAGATCAACTGCATGCCAATGACGCACCAGTGGTTTCTTGGCCCCTACGCACAGCTGTTTAACCATACTAATTTCCCTGTAACATGTCATTACACACGAAGAGGTGAAGTCAAGCGTGCGGGCTAATAGGTCAGCCGACAACGCTCGCGCCCGATGAAAAAATAATGGCATAATTTCATTTCTGTTGAACACTGTCACCTTCGGTCTTTTATGCTAAATTTGCATAATTGGACGACTCTTGAACGGCAAAAAAAAAAAATCTAGACCAACCATGACTTAGATCGGTTACTGACTTCTGTAGCCGAAATGGGGTCATTTAAGCATTTTAATTCGTACTCGGCCAAGGCATCCATTAGGAGCTAATGTTTCTCAACAATTAACTGATCACGTGACCCATTTCAGGTATTGTGGGGATATGGGGGATTTCTCGGTTTCCATGGTGATGCGGTGCGTGGGCACAAAATGTGCAGAATAACAGAATTAATCAATTTTTTTATGTCTCGTATTGAGAAAACCTTAACTTGCTTTTTTTAATGACGCGGGGTTAAAACTGTTTGCAATTTGCATTAATGTCTTTTGCTTTCTTCATCGATCATCATTATACACTACCACGACTGTAAACAGGCTTAGAGACCGAGAGAATTCGATATCGACATCATGTCGTTCAGACGTTTACAAACTATTTTCGGCACAAATCTATTTGCCGAAGTGATTTTTTTTTATTACAGGCCGAGAAATATGACGGATTTTTTTTCTCATGAAGTTACCCATAGTATTTAGTGCCAGAAATAGACTGCAGCATCCATTTTAAGATTTTGCAGAAATTATTCAATTTACGAAGATATTGCCGAAATGATTTTGAAAAAATCTTGGTTAAACGAGTGAAAAACACATTAAGCACGCATATTTAATACAAACAAGAACCATGTAGCCTGTATACATCTACGTGTATTTTGTAATCAACCGGCTAAGTAGAATTTTAAATGTGGTTACATGTCAAAGGCAAGAAGGATGTTTGTAATGTTCCTGCTTGATGAATGCTTCACGGCAGTGCTTGTTCAGCAAATTGAACGTAAAATGCCTGCACCGCATTCAAGCGGAAATATCTTAGTTATGATACAAACCAAAAAAGAGGGCGCCCTGTGTACAATCACGGATGAGTCTGTTGCCCGAACTTTATTCCCAAAAGGGGCGTGAAATATTTGTATTTACATGCTGAACTATGGTAAATCTGCGACTCATACATTCAAAGCACTTCACACTAGTTTTGGTTGCCAAGGATCATGTTGAAATCACAAACACGTATTGTTGAGATATAATAGACAAAGACAATATTAATACACAAATCCCTGAACAGTCTTGTTTTTATAACGGCAGCTTACAAGGTCACAGTCTGAATGGAAGAATACACGAAGATATTTAGAAAAAAATGTTGCAACCTGACGCCACTTTTTTTCTTCACATATCATCTCAATGATAGTCATTCATTGCAAAAATGATGATAAGACATGAATCTGGGACTGAGAAACTTTTCCAATTTTGTTAGGAAATACTTAGAACAATTTCTTGACTCTCCATAGACTTTGTACACAATCGCGGAAGTGGCGTCAGGTTGCAACATTTTTTTCCCAATATTTAGACGGCCTACCTTTAACAACGACTCTGTCTCCGGTGCACATTGTGTACTGCCATGCCGATGATTATGTGTAGGCCTACGTCTCGGCTTTTTCAACTGTTTCGGCTTCTGTCCATTGCTCAAATCCTTCCTTTTACTGGCACAGGCGAGGATTCGTTCCAGCTCTTTTCCGAATAAAAGACAACCCTTCGATTTGGCATTCAAAACTGCACAATACACTTTTTTCCGGTCACATCACTGTCGCCCGTGGAACTCCTGGGCGCCGCCATTGCTGTTCAAGCGGTACCTAACACTTCAGCTCACGGCTCCCGCTATTGGTTCATTGCACAACACACCGTGCTATGACATAAGGGCCTCGCTGATTGGTCACTTATAAAAACAGATGATGTAATAACTTACGCGGGTTTTAATACCGACAACGGAGACAAAAAAACAACTTTTTAGTCGAGATCCTAGCGGAAAAAATGGTCCAACGATTCACTGTGGATTGTACTATGAGTTTTCCAACATCTTCCTCTGTATTTTCATGTACAATTAAATTCATCACAATTTTTGTGTGTCACTGAGCTGCAAGAAAATCGGCCGTGTCTTTTGGTCTATGATCCAAGATATAAATCGTACTAAGCGGACCTACGAACCGGCTGCCGTTTCTCCTCGGTCGAGGACGGTACTCAGCGGTCCCAGCCTAGCCTCCAGTCGACCGTGAAACCACGGAAATGCGTTGGCGGGAGTTTCCCCGTTTTATTCCCCCTATCGACCAGCCTCTCTCCCCTCTCAGGTCTGCAGTCTTGCCTTGAAATAGAAAGCAAGGTGGATTACTCCTGACCTACTTTAAAGACGTCCTCTGTAAGATAAAGTTTGTTTTAATATTCGGTTCTTATATAGGCTATTATTAAGTATGTTCGTGAGATTTTCATTTTCACTCAGTAGGCCTAGGTTGCCATCGCTAAAAAAAAGTTCGGAAGAGTTTTTTTTTATGTGAGCAATACATGTAACTGAAATGTATGAAAATCACATTGTAAATTAATGGACACTGCAGGATTCCCACTACCCGGCTTTTGAGGTTGGCTAAGGAACGTTTTTAACACTATGCACTGTTCGCTCGTACCCACCGCCCTGCAAACAGGGCGCTGGGAGACGCTGATGAGCTTCACAGAATCTTGTGAAAGAAGTGGGGATGGCATTCTGGGTGACTTATCATGACCTATGTATAAAGCATCTGGCTGCAGCTACGTAAGCCAATGCGCGCAAATGCTATCCGAAAACTTTCCCATAGAATTGCAACACATTCCATACCGGATGTGATTTCTTTTTCATTGCGGACCATGTGAACAAAATTTGAGCGTCGCATAATATGCAATTTGATCCATCGTGAATTCGAAACGGAGCCTGAGCAAGTGACGAGAATTGAAATTTACCAAACAGACACGAGTTTTACATATTTTCCTACTCTATTACGCTTTTCAACGAAAAAAAAACATTTATGAATGTGAATAAAAGAGTGATGACTCAGTGATGGCCAACTAACGGCCGTTTAAAAAACTGTGCAGGGTCGTGGCCTAACCGTAAAACGGCCTGATTTAGAGGTTCTCCAGATTAGAGATTCATCCCCCCTCGTCTATACTTCCCTAGCCTGTACATAAGCGGTATATGCAATGTAGTGGACCATCTATGTTCAAGACTTAAATTTGGTCTTGACTCCCATGATGCAGCAAATCACAGAAGAACATGGTAAAGACATCGCGGCGGTAGAGGGCGCTCTCAACAATATGAATCGTATCGATCCACTCTAACTTTAGCAGCCGGACAAGACAAATTCCGCATAGCATAGCTCGAAGTAGTTTGAACCGGGCCCTCATTCAAAAAGCCTATCCGGCCCATTCCCGAACGGGTCTGCGTTAGGTGTTTCATGCATCGCGTGTCGCTCACATCAATCGTACGAGCTTGATGCCGCATAAGAGAATTCGAGGCGTAAGAGACCCGAAGCTTACCCACTCCCCAGCGGCAGCACTCAGGAAAGTAATTGCCAGCAAGCCATAATATCCGCGGACCTTCCCCGTGTATCCAAAAACTAAATTGATCCAGGGGCTTTGCCGATATCCTCACACTTTTCCCCCCTCCCATGTTTATTAAAATGCATGATACCCTTTCTCCTTCTCTCCAGGGTAGGGAGTTGTAAACTGTATACCCGACAACAAGCCACTATATATTTTGTTTTTATTAAATCGGCAGAAACACACCTGGAGACATGTCGGCCATAGGACGTGCCTTGTCACACACTGGAAATAATTATTGAATTCTGCATTACCAGACCGCACAAGCAGAAAGAGAGCGCTACAGATTTTATTCAATTTGGTAGGATGACCTTCTTTTTTGTTTAATATTAAAAATGATACTTAGAAGTGGCTTGGCACGTGAGTAGCCAGAATTCCCCATCTCTAAAATTAATAAAAGTACAAACTTTTAAAAGTACAGGTGTCGACGGCAATCTGAGTATTCAAGAATCTGTATGAATGGAATCATAATGATTTAGTCCAGTTATTTATTTTAATATTTTGACAAGAATATACAACTTGTTTAAAAGGCGTCACCGTGCTATCGTCAGATAAAACAATTTGCTTCAAGAGGATGGGGAAGGTTTGAGATAGAAAATCACACTGTAAACAAGTTTTGTGTAAATCCTGTTGAGATTTGTCCGTACTCTCCAACACATTTTATTTTTTTCTCCGTACCACTTTTTGTTTTATTTGATTGTTTTAAATGAAACCAAAACATTTTTTTTTGGGGGGGGGGGGCCTCTGCAACCTTGTGCAATGGGTACCGGCATGATTCTATGCTGGGAAGGTAACATACTCGCCGTGGAGGAGGTGTGGCGATCCCCCCCCCCCGCCCCCCCCCCCACCCCCCAGCAGCATTACATGAAGGAGTCTGGCCCAATCGCTTCGAAAGAGAGATGGGCACTCCGTTCCTGTGAATACAGGTTTGTCCTTTTTACTTTTTTAACCTTCTGAAAAGGGCCTTTTGGGGGTTGATGATGCGATGCTTACTTAAAAATTTCGCCAACTTGTTAACAAAATATGCTGATACGAAATTGTATTAATGAAAGTGTTGTGCTTGTGCAATATCAATTGCGCTCGAGTCTTGGTTATTGAAACACAGTTGAACGATCGGATACTCTATCATTATCATAGCTACCAATTGCGCAGAAACACATCCGGCCAAAGGGGTGTTCTCGTTTACTCCCGGCGACAATTTAATTGGATCGATAAATTCTGATCACACTTCATTTCACGAGTTCCAGAAATTA